GGGCGATTTTTTTCGGCAGAGGAGAGCAGTACCTTCATTCGGGATCAATTAGGAGAATTTGGAGAATAGGTCAATTTGCTGTTAAAGAGATAAACATGCTGACTATTGATGAATTTATAGAATTGTTTTCATTGTTGTGGTGGAATTTTTGGTTCATGTTGATGATTCTTCTCTGTCTGTGTGGAGTGTTTTTATTATATTGTTTTTGGTGTTAATGTATGTATGTTATGAAATTATTTATTTATTTACTTTTTTTATAGCAGTCCAAAGAAATTTATCACTATCGGATATAAAGTTTTTGTGCTAATATGCTAGAATGCAAATAAGTTTATCACAATCTTTGCTTTCTGGCCATTACCACCACCCATAGCTTCTGCGAACCTTTCTTAAGTTTGTTAAGTCTTCATAAACTATTTTTAAGCAAGCTTTTTGATATTTTATATCATGGGTTTGGTAAAATACTTCTGTAACTGTAGAGAACAAGATGCATGTTGAATCGCCATCGAAAGTCAATTTCCTCTTTTGTCTATGACTGAACTTCGCTTCGTTTGTTGGCTCGATTACATTGAGGCGAAGTTGGACATCATGAGATTTTATTATTGTGATTAGGCTAAATTTCGTTAGTAGTTTCTGTAATTTTTCATATTTAAAGTCATCATTTGATTTCTTGGTTTGATGTTGATGTAGTCTCTTAATTTGGGTAGATAACAAATCTGTATTTTTTTCATATTTAAAGTCATCATGAGATTTCTTGGTTTGATGTTGATGTACTCTCTTAATTTGGGTAGATAATTTTGTTATCTTGATTCTGGCAAATGGCTTATGCTAAAGAATAACAAAAGCATTCAGATGAGAATCCAAATATAAATTCCAAGAACAATTTTTAAATTGTAGAAATAGCTGGTGAATTGATTTTATCTTATATGCGCTTCTAGTTTTATTAAAAATATAATTTTTTTAGACATTTTCTAGTTTATTTGTTTGTTAGACCCATTATGTGAATTTTGCATTATTAGTTTNTATATTCTCTTGTTGTTTGGAATTCTTATGTTAATAAAAATGTTTCTTTATTTTATGATTAATAGGTACACAATGAACGATGATCAAAGGAAGAAAATTCTTTTACTATTGGAATTGGGTAATCTTCAAACAAGTTCGGTAGTTGCGTACTATTTCTATAGTCATATCTATAAATAACCATGCATGACGTCTTGTCAAACGGGAGAGATTTTGATGAGAGAAGTCTTAACCGGACATCCTATTCGATGTGTTAATGCTTTTAGAATGAGTTCTAGTGTATTTAAGCGACTATGTGAAGAATTGAGAGATACGTATTCTTTAAAAGCAAGTGATAGAATGTCAGTTCATGAAAAGGTTAGTATATTTGTATATATCATTGCCTTGGAAATTTCTAATAGGGATGCTAGTGAGTGATTTCAATGCTCAGGGGAAACAATTAGCAAAGCATTTCATGAGGTTTTAGAATCAATAAGTGGAAGAAGCAGACAATATAAAGGTCTAGCTTGCACGTGATGTTATTAAACCAAAGGATCCAACTTTTCAATTCATACCACTTCATATATCTAATGATTCTAGATATATGCCATACTTCAAGGTAATAATTCTTTTACAAATTACAAAAGTAGTAGTTATTTGATTTTAATTTTCCTTTTTGTCATATACACTAACGATTTTCATATGAATGCAGGATTGCATAGGTTGTATTGATGGTACACATATTGAAGCATGTATTCCGGAGAAAGAGCAATTGCGCTATAGAGGAAGAAAAGGAATCCCTACTTTCAATGTCATGGCCTCATGTGACTTCGACATGTGTTTTACATTTATATCGATTGGGTGGGAAGGATCAGTACATGATACACGTGTCTTTCTTCATGCGATCGAGACATCATCTATAAACTTTCCGAAACCTCCTGAAGGTAATTTATATTTTTTTTTATGATTGTTTCCTAATAAATATTAAATATGTCCCCTAAATTTAAATTATCTTATTTTTAACAGGTCGATATTACTTAGTTGATATGGGATATCCAGACCGAAAAGGATATTTAGTGCCATATCCGAGGATAAGATACCATCAGTCTGAATTCCAACACGAGTTGCCAGATAATGCTGAAGAAGCATTCAATCGGGCTCATTCATCTCTTCGAAGTTGCATCGAAAGATCATTTGGAGTATTGAAAAAGAGATAGAAAATACTAACTAAAATACCTAAGTTTAGTGTTGAGACACAGATTGATTTGATAATGGCGGCATTTGCATTGCATAACTTCATTGGGATCAATTCAAATGATAATTTGATGTGTTGGAGTGCTTGAGAAGCATCCAGAGTACATACCCAATGATGATCTACAAGATGAATCTGGTTCACATCCTGGCTACGACAATTCAAGAGAAACCTAGAGTACATACCCAATGATGATCTACAAGATGAATCTGGTTCACATCCTGGCTACGACAATTCAAGAGAAACCTATAATGTGATGAAAAATATTTGCAATGATATTGCAAAGATGATTTGGAGTGCAACAATATAGGTTGTCTGATTTATTTCTTTTGAACACAAATATTTATTTTTCTTAACTGAATTTTAGTTAGTGTTTTTTTTATTGAAAAATGTGCATTTTTTTCTATATTCAATGGAAATAATAATGATCATATTAATAATTTTTTTATAAATATTATTAAGCTAAACACGTTTTTTTAAATTTTAAGTAATTCTATTTTTAACTGGTCTAAAAGTTATTATTAATTAGTGTTCTTTTTTATTGAAAATTATAATTTATTTTTTTACTTTTTTTATTAATCAATGGAAATAGTAAAAATAATAATATTCATATTAATAATTTTTTTTATAAATATTATTAATCTAACTATATACTTTTAAATTTTAAGTAATTATACTATTTAAATTTAACTAGCTTATCAGTTATAAGCTATCAGCTATCAACTAGCTTATCAGCTATGTTTACCAAACACATCCTTAGTTGTTAGAGTCGCTAGTCCATAAGGGGGAAGTCACGTTTCTGCACTTTTTTGTTGGATATAATATATTAAATTTCATTAATATGCATATTTTATATGATTTCAAATATTTATAAAATTTTATCATTTTATTATATTCTATAAATTGTTAACTAAATTATTGATTTAACTTAAAAATTTATATTTAATATTTTGATAATTTTTTTTTATATTGTTTCAACATCGAATGACCGACAGAATACTGCTTTAGCACTACCATAATTTTCATCCTTAAAATAAAATCCGTCACACTGTACTGAGATTTGATAATACTGATAATAATTGGCATAAAAATTTATGGATTTGTTCAACACATATATTATATTTAATTTTATTACAATTTAAAAAAAAAATTAAAAAAAACGTGTAAAATGCACATGACTATAACTCACATCTTTAAGAAATTAATGATATTTTCAATTTTACACACACAAAGATAATATTTACAAAATAAAATTCCTTTTTACATATATTGGTACATATAAAATCTCATGTTTACAAAAACACACATCCATTATTCAAACAGTACAACATCAATCGAAAATCTCCCAGATCCAAAATTTTACAATTTATAATTAATATATCTACAGCTACACAGTTATAAGTAATATTTATTTCTCTACCATTTTTTTGGTTTTCCAATCCGAAAGAAAATTACCTCAGACTGAGTTGTTAAATTAAACGAGCCGCTTGTGATCTCCGTTTAAGCTCATTTAAGGATTGTCTAGATAATTCTGGACTCGTGAAGGCTCGTTAGACTTGATAAATGTGGTTTTTTTCTTAATAGTTTTACATAACTTTTAAACTTTTATCATAGTTAAGGCTCAATCTAGATGTTTATGCCGAGTTTGGGCTTGTTTATTGCTCGTTAACTTAAAGGGTTGGCTCAGCTCGATTTAGCTCGAGCTTGACTCGGCTCGTCTACACCTTTCACACCACTAACAACAAACCAAGAATTTCATACAAAGAAAAAAAAAGGAAATTAACCTATTTATGAAATGTGAAGAAAATAAAAAATAAAAAATGGGGAAGCATCTTTGGAGCCGGCAGTTGGGCTCGAGTATTTGGGCCAAAGCTCTCTTCTCGCTCCATAAGAAAAACAATCCAAGGGCTCCACAGAAAAACCGATCAAATTGTATGCATTTCAAAATTCAAAAACACCAATGCACACGCGTGTTTTAGATATAAACTTCCTTTGGATTTTAAAATTCAAAAACACCCATGCACACATGTTTTAGATATAAACATCCTAAAATGAAGGATTCTATTCTTATTTTATAAACCACGCCTTTTTAAATTTTTGACTTATTTTTTTAAAAATTTTCGGTGATGCATAATTGATTTCGAACACTTTTAAACATGTTTTCTGGATATTTTTTTTACACATTAGATTAAGTTTTATATGTGTGTGTGTTAAATTTAAATGTCCTTAGACTTGTTTTGGTTACAAAATAGTTTAGAAAAATTTTAGGTGAATTTAAATTTTATAAGAATGATATATAATATTTTAGTTATTTTTAATATTTTAAACAAACATGTTTTATTTTATCTTAGACAAGATAATCTCATACTGTAAATTATATAACATGTTAATTTTATAATTATTATTTAATATTGTGTACTCACTTATTAATTTATAATTATTATTGAATATAGTTTAACTGTGCATTGCAACTATGCTATAGTGTATAAATAACCCGCCCACACAAACTGTAACACACATCAAAACTCGGTCCACACTCTGCACTATTCCAAAATGACCCCTTTTCTTTCTCAGTTCGAAAACTCCTTTCTCTCTCACACCCACATGGCCACACACACAACAGACAGTCTGTTTTTCGCCGGCAAATTTTCAAAACTCTAAGCCGGAGATGAAACCGGTGACGGATAACTTCATCCGAATATCGAGGTACCGTAACTCGTCCCACTGAAATCAGGGGAAAAAAGGGATAAAAATGGACGGCCAGAAAAGCCAGGCGAAGCTCACCAGGACTACCTCGTCGCTCCTCCGCTTCTCGCCGACCGTCCGATCATCCATCCAGAGCCTTTCCTCTGTGAGCGAGATCGAGGCGGACGACCTCGAGGAGCAGAAGCCCCACGGCAGACCGGTCCTCAGCCCGGTCCGACCCGTCAGTCGCGGCTGGCACCGGTCCTCGCCGTGATCCTTCTCTCAGCCTACACGACCTTCTCGCTCTACTACAGGGAGGACGTACCTGCTTCTGAGAATCTTCTGCTAGCTCTGATTTTCGTCGCGGTTTTCCTGTTTTACCTCACGAGAAACAAAAACTCGCTGAGTCGGAGTTTCGACTCGTTCAAGCAGATTTGCGATTTGTGCGCCAGGAAATTAGGTTCACCGTGCTTCGACTCCAGGGCAGCGCCTTCGAAGCCGGTGTGGTGGTTCATCGGCGACTCGGATCTCGACGAGATCGAGAGAGATCGTCGATTGAGGGAAGGAATTGAGTTCTACAGCATTGGCGATTTTTACGAAGGCGAATTTCATAAAGGGAGGTGTAACGGCAGTGGGGTGCACAATTACTTTGTGAATGGCAGATACGAAGGGGATTGGGTCGATGGGAAGTACGACGGCCATGGATTGAGAGCTGGGCGAGAGGAAGCAAGTAGAGAGGGCAGTACAGGCAGGGCTTGAGGCATGGCTATGGCGTTTACAGGTTCTATACTGGGGATTCTTATGCTGGGGAGTGGTGTAATGGGCAGAGCCATGGCGTTGGCGTGCAGACTTGTGGTGATGGAAGCGGTTTCATTGGGGAGTTCAGGCGTGGGGTGAAGCATGGTCTTGGCTGTTACCATTTCAGGTCAGTGATTTTGTTTCTATTTGTTGTTTTGTTTTGGGTTTTTGGATGTTTTTGAGAGGTTTGAATGTTTGGTGTGAGTTGAAGTAGTATTATCTGTTTGGGGTGTGTTTTGTTGGTGGAGCAGTTTGGTTATGGATTGAATTGTAAGCTATTCCATTTGC